ACATTGCATTACGGGAAATATGTCACTGTGCATATACCCAACACACCATTGCATTACGGTTAATATGTCACTGTGCATATACCCAACACACATTGCATTACGGGAAATATGTCACTGTGCATATACCCAACACACATTGCATTACGGTTAATATGTCACTGTGCATATACCCAACACACATTGCATTACGGAAATATGTCACTGTGCATATACACAACACACATTGCATTACGGAAATATGTCACTGTGCATATACCCAACACACATTGCATTATGGTTAATATGTCACTGTGCATATACACAACACACATTGCATTATGGTTAATATGTCACTGTGCATATACACAACACACATTGCATTACGGTTAATATGTCACTGTGCATATACACAACACACATTGCATTACGGGAAATACGTCACTGTGCATATACCCAACACACATTGCATTACGGAAATATGTCACTGTGCATATACACAACACACATTGCATTACGGAAATATGTCACTGTGCATATACCCAACACACATTGCATTACGGGAAATACTATTGCCATTATTTACCAAATATTGTATTAATATGTTGGCTGTCTAAATTACAATGGAGCCTGCATATGCCAGAATTTTAAATTCTTCGATTCTCCATAAATACTTTTAGTAGTCCACCAGATGTTTAGGGACAGGTAACCCATCATATATTAACGAAGGGTTGTTTTTTCTTGTGGTGATGTTATGATATTTCACTAATTTCGTTAGAAATTAAATCTGCCTTTTATCAAGGGGACTGGGCGTGTAGGGCTGATGGTCTATTTTATGAATACGTCCCCCTATAGTATTTCACCTGCAATCATCGACGCCCCCAACTGCCACTGTACTTGTGAATGACATGCACATATGTACAGAACCATACAAATAAATGCTATGCAGCCATAATGCAAATGTAGCTTGTGAGAGATGTGCAATGACTAAGCAAGGTGATATGAAATGATACTTATAACATACATGCATGAAAACATTCCGTGTTTTGTGCAGATGCTACTACGCATGATCGGTTTCTATATTGTAGATTGTTGCCAATTGGAATAATCGAGAAAAAAGGTTTACAGATGATGCTTTAGATAATTGTAAAAAAAGAATAAGAAGTTACGATAAACCGTGATAGTGTATCTGAAAAAAGTTTACGGGCTTGACAGTCACAAACCGTCATTATTTTATGGTTTTTATGACAATATTTTAGTTGCTTCATTCTTGGTTTGAATATGCTGATTTTAAACTCTATCCTTAACAGAAATGAGTCACGGGAAAATGTGTTTGATTAAACTACGTACTAAATAAACTGATTAAGGGATTAAACCAACTGTGTTGGTACCAAATGACAATGCAACTTTTTTAATTGGGTTATTTGGTAATTGAGATAACATATATTATACATTTTGATATTCTATCGTTATCTTAGCAATTGATTTGAAATTCATATAAAGGGAATATTGTAATCTATTTATAATTGTGTTTTAATGACTCAGGATACATCGGGATGTTAGTTAGAAAAACATGTTTATTACAAACATATCGTGTCGGGAAACTTTTATTTTTTATTCAAACTTAAGTTCTGTATATAACTAATAATATTATTCCAATCACAACTTTAAATATAACGAAACGTTTCATACGTCCTGATTTAAATTAAAAGAGAGCGAGGGGGCAAAATTGTTTAGCGTTAAAGTCATAACTTTATTAACAATTTTATTAGCAATTTCAAGATATCCAAAATATGAATAAAACACACACATTGATTAATTGGTATATTAATTTGCAATCGAGCTTTAGAATACAGACTTTGACTTCATCTTCTTGACATTTGATTATTTTACCTTGTACTCAGGGTTTAATCTCAAACATCGTGTATACGGGGTACATGTCGCCTCTAACACAAACACGCACATAGCCGAATACACGCTCTAAAACACTGTAGAATTTTCAATAGATTATTTTATATTTTGTTTTTAATGAATGATGTTATCTTACCAAAAACATGATATGCAAGGTACACGAGAAAATATGCTTGATGACGTCATCGACCTTGCAACAAAAAGAGAAGCATGTAAACTACAATGTTCATTTAACTTGTGAATGTGGAGTAGCTAAGGGGGTACGGGAGTGCACGGTGCAATTTGAGAATGTGACGTGACATGAATTATACCATTGTGTATTACTTTAGGCTACCCTAACACTGCTCATAAATGCGCCGACCATTTGCCTAATTAGAAAGTATACATTTTAACGGGGTTTTAGTAGATGGTCGTGCACAACACGAGATCTACTTACGAATGTCAAATTAACGGTTAAACATACATACACTCACTATGCATATAATATGATAGCGAGATAGTTGGTAATCGATTATGCGAATGGTTTGCCACCACTGAATGTCTTACCTGTATACAATATAGCCGACGATTGAAACGATGGCCAAACCAACAACAGAACACACTACAGCTACAACAGAGATCTTATCTAAAAAGTACAGAAATAAAATTCGAGTAATGTTCGCTACACAGAACAAACTAATTGTTATTTATTTTTTCGAGGTGAATAGAATAACATACACACCAAAGCTATCTTGCTGGCATATATCCGCGCTACAGGAAGGACGATCCTGAGGAGGAGATTGGCTGCTACCCGGCCAGACGACAGAATGACTCACATCCCGGTAAACGCCGTCACTGAAAGAAAGAAAATATTGAGAATCTGTTAGAGGATGTAGTGAGCTTTTACGAAGAGGAAATGAAATATTGCTAGTGGTTATAACGGAACACAGTGTGATAGAAACGCATATGCCTCCCACAGAGAGTGTGATGTATGCGTCCTGTTCTAGGTACGGCTACTGATGTTTCAATACGTCATGGCAATCAAAACAGTTTTGTATCTTCAACAAATGCGCCCGTTTTCAACATCATTTTGACATATATCGTATGATATATATGTACATATCTGATACATTTATAAAAACAAGGTAGCACTTCCCAGTACTGTTTGACAGTTGGAGATAGACTGTAGTATAAATCTATACTGCATATAAATGTACATCAGAATCTCCTTTCGAATTTATAGTCCGATTATTGTACACACCCAAACAAACTTCGAATATCGAACATTACGCACTTCCTTGATTAGCTGTGTTTAGCGTGTACAATGCCTGTATATGTGAAGTTTAAAAGACACTCCAGGTAACTTAGCCTGATGGGTTGGGTTCACGTATTTGAACCAGGTAACTTAGTCAATCAGGCGAATGAATTTACAACAGTTAAATCAGGTAACTTAGTCTTACAAGTGAGTTCAATGCTGTTAAACCAGGTAACTTAGTCTTACGGGTGGGTGCAATGCACGTAAACCAGGTAACTTAGTCTTACGGGTGGGTGCAATGCACGTAAACCAGGTAACTTAGTCTTACAGGTGAGTTCAATGCAGTTAAACCAGGTAACTTAGTCTTACGGGTGGGTGCAATGCACTTAAACCAGGTAACTTAGTCGTACAGATGGGTGCAATACACGTAAACCAGGTAACGTAGTCTTACGGGTGGGTTCAATGCACTTAAACCAGGTAACTTAGTCGTACGGATGAGTTCAATGCACTTAAACCAGGTAACGTAGTCTTACGGGTGGGTTCAATGCAGTTAAAGCAGGTAAGTTAGTCTTACGGATGGGTTCAATGCACTTAAACCAGGCAACGTAGTCTTACGGGTGAGTTCAATGCAGTAAACCAGGTAAGTTAGTCGTACGGGTGGGTTCAATGCACTTAAACCAGGTAACTTAGTCGTACGGATGGGTTCAATGCAATTAAACCAGGTAACTTAGTCGTACGGATGAGTTCAATGCACTTAAACCAGGTAACTTAGTCGTACGGATGGGTTCAATGCAGTTAAAGCAGATAACTTAGTCTGCTGTAGGGTTCCTCACTATTAAACCAGGTAACTTAGTTTTGCAGGTGGGTTCAATGCAGTTAAACTAGGTGACTTAGTCGTACGGATGAGTTCAATGCAGTTAAACCAGGTAACTTAATCTTACAAATGGGTTCAATACAGCTAAACCAGGTTACTTAGTTTTACGGGTGGATTAAATGAAAGTTAACCAGGTAACATAACTGAGTTGGTTCAAAGTTAAACCATGCAACTAAATCGAGCATATGCCTTAGCACACTGACGGGTTGTCTAGCAACGAATAATTAGTTGAAAGCTAGATATCGTGGGCTGGTTCCATATTGGTATGTATACGTGTTGTTTGTCCATGTATGGCAACGATATATATATTCACTGCTGCGACGAATTCTAATTTTACTGATTATATATCAATGGTATATCCAGCGTAATTATTAAAGAGACTAGCAATTTCTTTCTGCTTCATACTTAGATCGGCATCCTATCACAATATTGCATGACAGAAAAAAATATTTTAATTTTGCAATCATCAAACTTTTTCATCGTTTCAGCAATAATCCACTTTTCTTACCTAAGCATTTCCTATCTAATTCGCTATGAAAGGGTCTGTAGTACACACCCCTTTAAAGAGACGTTGTATTTCGTCTAGCATTATCACTCCAAATTTCGTTTTTGATGATATAATTCTTGTGGTTAAATATAATAACACTGTGTCACAGATGACATCAGATGGCATCAATATCACTCAGTGGATGTAGATTTCAGATAAAATACAACAACTCACAATGATATATGACAGGAACCAGCTGAGTGAAACAGGATATGTTCACTCTTTTCGAATCGCCTGATATCACTTGATAGGATTCATATATAATTCATGTATATTTCTCTTTTACTATTTTGGTATATATATTGTTATTTATACGTCCATAGTAAGAGTAATTGCCTCGCTCAAAGCTGATCAAGTACCGATTCATTTACAACTAATTTTCTTGACAGATGGGCTTCTATTGTATCACATGCCAATGTCGATCTGCTGATTATTTCCATGCGGTGGAGTGTGAAAACACGAAACGCATACTGTGTATGCACAGACGTGTTGTTGGCGTTGTTGTGTCGCATAATATAATTAAATTATATTCGAGGTTGAAAGTGACACCTATAATACCGAAGCGTTGATGTAATTATTATAGTTCAGCTGAGATTCATATAAGACATCTTTAGTTGCACGCTTTCTATTACCTGACAAAATAGTCCGCCACGTGAATATAACTACCATTCTGTACATTACGTAGCATATAATTTAGTGACCTGTCGCCATGGTGATCTATGTACGCTTCACCATAAAGACCTGAAATAGAATATAATATTGTCAGTTTAGTGGATATGGCTTTCAGAATGCCACCCACAGCAGGTAACATGCATCAATGTTAAAAATGAAAGAACTTGTCTATTTTGTTATGTGGCAAATTACCAAAATATCATGAAGTCATTTTGCATACATTTTGAGAATCTAAACCTGTCACATAATATCAGTTATTAAATTTATTTATTAAACACGTGTTATTTTATATGTCCGTTTCAAAGCTTTTTTAAACACGTCAGCTAACGCATGTATGAACTACACTGTTGATTGTTATTTTTGAAGTTCTAGATTTTGGTTCGAAAAAAAACGAATTAATACGGTGTGCAGTCAAATTGGGGCTTGGAAAGGCTAGAATGGTGCCTAGTAAATACACAACAAGCTTTATAAAACAAATGCATTATCACAATCATTCATCAAATATGGTGTACAACCGTCAACATACATATTTGTACAGACAAGACGTCGAATGTTCACCCATCATGCATTCACTAGAATGTTTTATACACAGTATGGATTCATTGCTTTATCAGAACGCACATTATATGTCGGATAAATCGATTTACATCACTGTTAACAAACCCGAAAGTACAACAAACTGAGATTCAATCTATCTGCGGATATATGTGCACATACAAAAGATGACAGCACTGCAGGATAGCAATAAATAGGCACTATGTATTTAGCTTCTTACCTAACAGTGTGAAAGGAGTAGAAGCCGACGGTGAAAGGAAATCATTGATGTGGCTTCAGCGCACCTGTCCATCTGTTTGTGTTATCTATTTTTGTATTGTTGTTATTTGAAAAATCACATGATACCCTCCCCGTTAGTCATTCAGTATTGTTGTGATCGCAGATTGACCTGTAATTTCAACTTTACATGTACCCAAAACATTCTGGTTTATTTTTAAAAGACGCGCAAAGACACCAAGTATACTTGCTAGATGTACAGTATTCTTGTCAATGTGTGAACAAAACCTAGGGCTTATTTTGTTGAATCTTTAAAGACACAAAGATATAAATACACAAAGTAATAATGCCTTCGAAAAATAGAATCACTAAACGATTGAAAGATCTGGCAAATAATGTACTGGTTGTCATTTACAGCAAAAATAAAACTTACCAGTAAAATTTCTATCAAATAGTCTTCGACTTATGTTTGTGGTGTCATATTGATCTACACCCTGAGCCAAGCTTTCATTCAATGCTACCGCATACAATAATACTGCTTCATATATCATAGCTGCTTCTGTTGAAATCTAAGCATAGGATAATGGAAAAAATAAAGACAAGTGTCTATGGTATATTGAATTGTTTTCATATGCTGCATATACCACGTAGACATACTTGTACTTATATCTCAAGTGGCGGTTAGATCACGATGAAGTTGATGCTCAAATTTTTCAATTAAATAGATGAGAGTTTGCAATGATAGCTATACACTTAAATACACTAATGAAAACCTAGTGGCAGAATGTGTATATTTGAATAGTATTATTAGTATTCCAACATTAACAGAAACATTGACTGACCGCTTCATTATCTGGTAAGTTGTAATTAAATGGGTCTTCTCTTAACTTGCTTCGTACTTGACTATGAAATTGTTGATAGGCGGAATCTCCATCTGGTTCGTATACGCTTATATCCATCAACCCTGGAATAAGAACATTTGATTATACAGATAATACAGTCGCCGGGAGCACTGGACCACGTGTCAACAATGAGAGGTATATATACACTAACACGTAAACAAGTATATACAATAAGTAGTAGATATATAGATTTCGTTCGCAACAATCGTCCTTCAACAGTGGATATATATTATTTTCTACTCAGTTATTCATTTGAAAAGCAAATCGCCTGACACAAACGCAGGGGCGTCGTATAATATGCATTTAATTATTGACCCATGTTCTGTGACGTAATACTTTTCATTAAGTACAATGTCAAGTACAATTAAACTGAAATGTTTTAAAAATCGTGTTTTTAAATAATAAAGTTTGTGCTAAATTGTGTCATTATTGACCAATTACGTATGATATGTTGAGATAATCAATAATCACTGACTAACTGAACAAATATAATCTACAATCAGGCTGTGCAGACAGTTTGGACAAGCGTCGATCGATAACGAAGCTTTTATAAATCAGGTTATTTTCTAATACCCCTAGACTAATGTCTCTTGACTACAAACAAAATGATGTACGTTGGTTGACAATTACATTTCTACTATTGGACCAAGCTGTTTTAATAGAAATATTGTCGATATGGGTTATAATTTGGGTTTTCGACGATCAATTCCCATTTGGAAATTCTATTCCCACTTGCGTGTTAGACTTTTGAAGTGAAATCAGTTTTATGTCACACCCTGTTGAGTGAATGTGCGGTTAAATAACACACACGACTGTCAATATAATAAATAAGTGATATCTCATGAGAAACTCTGCAATATAAGATTTATTAAACGAGTGTAGTAATTTTCATTTGTTTGGAGCAATCTGATATTGTAGGGTCACGACTTCGATATCCTGTTTGTCACATATATCAATTTCGCAGCTACTAAAGGTTAAACACTAACACAGTGATGGTAATTTGCGATGACGTATTCAAGACATCGTAGATTGTCCTTGCCAATTTGCTTAAGGTAGAGATGCAGGTTCGTGGGCACTTTGGAGTGAAATTTTTTTTTTTGCTTTTTATTGTCCAAAAAGTCTTGGCTATACTGTTGAACTTTTGTAAAATTGTGAATTGTAGAACATACTCAAAAAACGATTTTAAAATATAGATAACAGGTGCAAAATTATCTCTTTTGAATGCTTAGCAAGATTTAGCAAGGCTGTACATAAATAATAAAAAAAAACTATAGTGAAAAAAAGAAATGACGGGGTCTCCATATTATGCATTGTATTTAACTTTTTACAAAACGATAATACATTTAAATTTGGAACTGTTACAGCCATTTTAATTATTAGCATTAGCAAACTTCTTACTGAGTGAATTGTTATGCAAATTAGCAATTATCTCAGCTTCTTTTTAGGGCACATTCCAGAACTTTAAAAAAAATAGCTCCTAGACGCTTTGACCTTTTGTTTTGAAATTTTCACAAATGATTGAGAATGTGCTTATCTTCAAAACGCCGTCGGGGCATTGTTTTAGTTGAATAGTGTTACAGCAATCGTACAGACAACTAGCCTGGGTGTTAATTTATGCATAAACTTGAAGTAGTGAAATTTGAGCTGCTGCTCTACAAAATTTACAACTGGTAGACAGTTTTCAAGACGGCGCTTTCTTCATAGTAAACAAATGTACCCATAAACCAATTTTG